AAAAAAAATTACGTCGACATTGATATGGCATTAATGCAGTGGATTCTTCACGACTGGAGCGACGAGCACTGTGCAAAGTTGCTAAAGAACTGTTGGAAGGCTCTGCCTGAGGATGGAAAAGTGATAGCGGTGGAAAGTATTCTACCAGTAGTTCCAGAGCCCAGTCCTCTAGCCCAGAGTGTCTGTATTGGAGATCTGGTTATGTTGGCTTATAATCCTGGAGGCCGAGAGAGGACCCAAAAGGAATTGCAACACTTGGCAAGAGAAGCTGGCTTCTCAGGATTCAATTTCACCTATGTGTTTGCTGCCACTTGGGTCATAGAATTCACCAAGTAGATTAGGATTTCTATTGTTGGCCGATCCATCCATTCTAGTGCTGCTTGTATTATCTTGCTTGATTTGCTTTGAGTTCCTTGATCACTTACCTTGCATCCAAAATAAATTTTAGTTCTACCCTATTACTTGAAGTCTTTTATCTTCTTTAGCTATCTACGAGGAAATCTCTATATTCTGTTGAAGGAAATTCTCTATTCTGTTAACGAAAATCCTCCCTCCTAAATCTTTCCTCCTCGGCGAACGACAACCTCTCTCATAATCTATATAAATAGGAGAAGAGGAACAGCTTAATTGTATTCAAGCTAAAGTTACTTTAATAAAACTTCTTAAATATTTTTTTTAATAATTATTTTTATCTTCTATTCTTTTGTTTTCAGGTACACATGACCATGTTATGGTGGGTAGGCTCTAGTCATGTTTATTTAAAGTCATCATGATATCATGGCACCCATGTGTTGGCAGGTTGGTCTCCTAATCTAATTGGATTCGACTTAGCTTAATGTCAAAGTTTGGTAATGGAGGTTAGTAGTATGGGTAAAGAGGAGCCGAACTATTCTTGACTCAGAAATGTACTTCCGGAGAAGGTCAATCAAGAGACGAATCGATTGCACGAGTCTAGTTTGAAGATGACACGGCTTCTTAACCTACAACTTCAAATAGCGTTAGGTTGAATATTATGGCAATCGTGCCTCCATATAATAGAATGGGAATATCTCCGATTACGTTAAAAATTTTCCAAGGAAAAACTTTCGATTGAGGATATTTACAAAATGAGTGGAGTCGACCTCAATATAAATAATCGAAATGCCCTCCCGCAAAACCATATGTGTAGTCACTCTCTGACTGCAACTGCTTCGCAAAATTAAGCTGATGACATTTGTGGTAAAATTATAACTTTTAATCAAACAACTATCATAACCATTTCTAACCAAAAAATTCATCACTCTTATTACCCCTTTGACTGCAAGAATCATGACTATTGACTTTGTGCCAACTTTTATCGGGCCTTTCCCATCGGACAGCTATGAGGGAAACCAACCTCCTAGACTCTTGAATGTGATGAGGACCAAGCATATGTGCTGAAAATCTAGCAAACAACATTGTCGTCACAATGTGACAATCCCCACAAGCAACATTATTGCCATAATGTGATGAAAAAGAAAGCCAACCCAACAAGTAAAAAAGGTTCTAATTCCAAATCTACTAATGAGAGATATAATCGTAGCATGCATCACAAAGGAGTCGGCTATAGATCTTTAATCACACACTTCAATATTTGGTACACTTCGTAACGTAAAAATTGACAGCTTAAATTGGCTACTATTGACAACACCTCGTGGATGGCCGGCACTATTTAAAACGACTTCACAAGTGTCGCTGTCTTCGATCGAGATGACACAGTAAAGCACAAGGCTTTGCGGACAATAAATGCCACTGTGATCGATGTAATATGTCGCAGATGCCCGTCATATAATGAATCAAAGGCATGTGTTAGCCACTCACGACGATCCATATAAGACCATCGTTTTTAAGTCCTCAGCTATCGCCACTAATCCTTCACCTCCTCCGCGACTCTCGGACGACATGGGATCCATCAAGGACGTGCTGCAGCTGACCCCCGACGAGGACGAGGAGGCGTGCCTGTATGCCATGCAGCTGCTTGGCGGCTCTGTCCTCGGCATGACCCTCAAGGCCGCCGTCGAGCTCAAACTTCTCGAGACCATCGTCAGGGCCGGCCCTGGAGCCGTGCTGAGCCCCTCCGAAATCGCCGCCCAA